GTTTGCGTGGGTGAATTAGCAGTTAAGACAAATCGTCGATTGAAGTGATTGTTTCTGTCCATAATCGCATATCAGTCCCATATGGATAGGAAATCAAGCAAAGATGGGACTGATATGCTATTATGGGTAGTTTACAAAAGCAGATACGAAGATTTGAATAGTTACGCTTGAATTTCTCTTTCATCTGAGTAAAAGTGAGTTAGTCTCATCGGTTGTGAATGGCATCAGCCGAAATGCCAATTAGTGCTGTGAAGAAGTCGTTATTATCGATAATATCGATATCGGTCATTGAAAATTTCGATATCGGATTTTGATTATCGATATCGGGTCCAATATCCGATAATAATTAAAAAATACACTTTAAAAGTACTCTTGCTTTCCGGCGTTTATTTTGCATTTTTAATCTTAGAAGCATCAACATTATGGAGAAAAATTATTCGATTAACTTTTTCAGGATCGAGACTGCTTCGAGACTCACTCAAAATTCGCCCTGTTTTTGAAAACAAACGCTCTGATGGCACCGAGGTTGCAATCCTTGGCAAAAGCTTCAGTGCCACCTGGTATAAAAAAGGAAATCTGCTCTGCTGCTGCTCCCAGTACCGAAAAATGCGTTCGCATTGTAACCCTTCGGTTGTTGTAACGTTGAACCATGCCTTCGTGGCAACTCCATACCCCATTATCGGTAGGGATCTTCCTCGGCGGCTCCTCGCCAACAAAATCTTCTTCATCAGATCCTTCAACTTGAGATAGGACCATGTGGATGATTATTTCCGTAGTGGCGTTGCGTTCATCGGCACTCTTGAAATGAACATCTTTAAATCGAGGATCCAGAAGCATACTTGGTCCATAAAGAGAGGCGAGGCTCGGTAGCTTCCAAATCGGGATTGGGTTTCTCTTAACAAGGATGCTTGGAGGTTTTTTTCCAACCGATGATACTGGCTTCATAGCAGTGATGCAATTGTTCAGGCAGTTTATGATAGGCAGCACCCGACTTATTGTCGCATAATCTTGACCGCTCAAATCTTCAGTTTCTTCATTAAGGGGCTGTAGTAGCTTGACGACTTCCTCCAGATTTCTTTTTCCCTACAATTTAACCATTTCTGAGGAGCAATCTTGGTCCGACATAATGATCTGCATGAAGTTGTACAGCTCTAGAAACCGTTTAACCATGATGAACTCCGAGTTCCATCTGGTAGGCACAAATGAAGTAATTTTCAGAGGTGTTCTTTTAGCATCAATCTGTAGCTTGTGCAGTTTATCTGTTGCGATTGTTGATCTCCGAAAAAAAGGCAACTATCTTCTTTACTTTATCTATCAGTTCTGATAGAGCGTTTGTAGTTTCAATGGATTTTTTCGCAACGAGATTGATTGCATGGGCTACACAGCCAATATGTTTATCTTCAGAGAATGTATCCGCAACAGATTTTAACATATTAGACGCATGGTCTGTAACAATCATGCCCACGCGTTCTTTGGGAATTGCCCAATGTTTAAGAACTTCCTCAAAGCAAGTTAAAATGCATGCACTATTGTGCCATTCATTCATGATATAAACGCCCAAGTCAATCGTTTGGAGACTTGTGGAAATTTGAGGGCTCAAAAAGTGACAAGTTACTCCCAAATAGCTCCTAGTAGTAAGGCTATCGGTCCAGATGTCGGCAGTAATGGTCAAGTCTTTATCTTGAATTTTTGTTTTGACACACTCGACCACTTTCGAATACTTGTCGTCAACTAGCTTTGTCATGAGCTTTCGGTTGGGAATTTTGTATTTAGGTGCCAGAATTTTCAATAAATTAACAAAGCACTCGTCTTCCACAATCGAGAACGGTTGATACCTAATCTTTCACAATCATGAATGCGATCGCTTCGTTAATTTCTCTGGTTTTCGGTCCATCATCTAGAATGTTAGAATTAATTTCCCATTATTAATAAAATAACATGAGCTTAATAATCGTGCTATAAAATATATTATTTGATAACTGGTTCTGCGTCATATATATAGAGGTAGTATACTACCATGGTTGGTATCAGGAAATAATCTGTCAAACTACTACAACAAACCAATACACAATACACAACACGACTTCTCGGAACGGCGCCGGTTATGTAGTGGTATGCGTGATTACCTCTCACCCCAGCAGGCCTGGGTTCAATCCCAGTCGGAGCCGCCGGGATGTTCTGAGGCATAACATCTCTGATCACGCCTTCCTTCGGATGGGAAGTAAAGCCGTTGGTCCCCGGTTCATGAGTTGATGGGTCGATAGGTAGGGTCCAGGTGTGGGAGCTGCCTTCCTGGCACGTCGGTAGCATTGGTGCTCAGCACAGAAAACAAGATCGACGGAAAAAAACAAACCAAAGGAAATTCTCACGACTTCTCGGATATTCTACGGAGTTCTTGAAAGATCTACGGTCCTTTCAGATATTTTACTGACTTTTTAAGTTCTACGAACTTCTCAAAAGTTCTACAGACTTCTAGGAAGTTCTACGGACTTCTATATATATGACTCAGAACCAATTATCTAATTTTTGCGGAAGCTTTTGAACGGAGTTAGACTGAAAACCTCCATAGCATAATTCCAAATTCGCGTCAATATTTAAAAACGAGTGAATTTTTAACCTCAAACTTATTTTAAAACAAAAAAATAACATAAAATACCTGTCCAAAGTTGCGTTTCTTTGAACATTCGATCTATTGTGGATGCCGATGTGGATGGTTCTGCATATACGAAGCTTGTACTGGGAGTAGGAGGTTGAGCCAAATCTTGTTCCTGATCCTGACACTTGAAGTCGAAAAATGTTGACATTAATGATTCATTGATTTATCCGATGTTTATGTCTACCATATACATTTATGTATTTATCCGATTTAAATGGTAGAGAAGTGAGCTTGAGCTTGAGCTTGATTGACCGCCCACGGTTGCTACTCTGTTACTGCCAGATCAGCTGTAATTACACAGAGAACCAATAGACGATGCTTGGCACTAGCAATCATCCTCAATGTGTAAAAACTGGTGATCTTAAATTAGGCAATACCAGCGCCGGCCGCGCCTGAACACAGGTCAAGAAAGGAATGGGAAGGATTGTGTTGACATGACACTCGCTTTGATGGAAGCCGAGAACACCTCTGCACTTCCACGAGGAATCACTGGGATGTTGGATAAGAGGGTTGGGTTTGCAGCAGGGTTCGTTTTGGTAAACGATAAGCTGAATTGATGTCCTAACGATCATATAACGCGAAGGAGCTTGGGACTAAACCCACGGTCTTCTGCTCAGTAAGCAAAAACGTTTGCCACTAGGCAGACGAGCACCTTTTTAATCACCGAGTTGCTGTTATTAACTTATTACCATGTAGTCATATTAACAAATAAAGCGATTGACGAATCTTGAATGTGGATGGGCCAACAACAACGAGTTTCGCAAAATACACGATACACAAGCGATTTTACAATAAATCTCTTTGATATGTAAGGACCTGGGACCGCGTTTTTCTGCTCAGTAAGCAGGCCACTGTAACCGACGATCTTTCAAATCCGAAAACTAAAAACTACGAAAAAGTACTTAGGACTTCATTAAGTTCCACTTTCACGCGACGTTCAATGACAGGGTTCTATCCAGGATTACATCTGAAAAATCCAAATCTGGCCAACGCCCACCTAAACCTGTTCTAATCCACCTGAAATGACTAACGAATAGAAGACTTTGACTACCCAGCCATGCAATAGTCTCATTCCGTGCCTTATGGCAACTTGATGATTCTATTGCGCTCATCTTTTGGCACCACCCAGGGGAGACTTGGTCCTGTACCCAATGCTTAACTTATCTCCATTCCACTCAGCTACTCGCAATTTCTTGTGATATAGTGGGCGGAATATTATTATATGAGACGATTCAATGCAGACGTCTTTCCAAATTTGGCAGATCGACAGGTAATCGGTGAGTTACCACGATAGTTGCTATTCAACAACTCGACAACGTCCCATCGTCAACGCCTGCTCTGAGAATTTCCCATTGCAGACGTCAACGAAATGACGTCATCGAGCTATCGATCAACTACCCTGGTTATCGCCTGGTACCTTATAGCCGATGCTAGGAGGCGAACCGGAAGAATCGATGAGCTACCTCTCCCCCCCGATTTAAATGGTAGAGTAGTGTGTCAAAAACTCAATAGTCGTCTCTTTCATTACTGCGTAATTGGCGTTGACGTTGACGGCATTAGCTCAGCCGGGAAACTCTCTTTGCACCATCTTCCCCTCCTTCACTTTCTGACATAAAATCGCCAGCAAAAAGAGTAATGCCATCATCGCCAATATTTATAAACAGTGCTACCAGCAAACCGATATTCAATTCAGATTATCGTCGATATCGGATTTTGAAATATCGGTGTTATCGTATCGATAATTTGGATCCAATATTTATCGATAATATCGGATTTATCGATATCGTCACAGCACTAATGCCAATAGGCAAGAATTCTTCAAAACTGCGCAACCAAAAAAGAGATCCTTCATATTTATTATCAATATGCCTTTTATTAGTTTTTTTTTTGTTCCTTCTTCTTCATCATTACAATTAGACTTTCCATCATTTTCTGTGTGATTTTATAATCCTTACCCTATGTACACATTCTCTCAACGGTGATCTGCTATTAGTTTGCATCATTCTTGTTGTTCTGCTGGTTTGGACACAGTTCTTTGCAATTGAATAGCATAATTGTTTTACAATAGTTAATTATTATTAATCTTCTCGTACTGTGTTGCTTCAGTTTTGTTTTCTTTCCATGTGTTCTTCTTTGTAGTTTGTTTGTTTGTTTTTTTTTTAAATCATCACTAAGTTTCTGTTCGCATACAGAATGTTCTTGTGTAGTTATCAGTTCATAAAAAAGTAAGTGTAATAATTAATAATTATAATAATGATTCTTTTTTCCGTTTTGTTTTTTTTTCTCTCTATACTTACGAAGCCTTTCGTTTTCGCTACAAATCCTATTTTAATCAACTTTCTTCCTTCCTATATACCAATTAAGCTTAGTGTTGTTCAAATTCATTTCGATACCATTGTTTCCTGTCGGGACAGACTTTCATGTTGCCTTTCTTTTCTTTTGTTTTCTTTTTTTATTCTTCAGTTAATAACCGTTGCTGCATCAGTTCTAGAATAAAAAGTAGTCGCTTTCTTCCAGTGGAACGAAGGGAAACAAAAGTAATCGCTCCAGAGCAAATCCTTGTATGCTAATGACAATTATTGAGAACGTGTTACGTAGGTGTGTGTTTGTGTGGTGTTTCTGATTTCTCTTTACGGAAAAAAAAGCATCATGTTTCCAGTTAGTAGGTAATATTTGATTTATCGATTTCTATTTGATTCCCTAAACTCGTTATATCTAACATTGATAGTAAATGTTGATGCTTTTGTATTTTTTTTTATCTGCTGCACGATTTATGATTTTCGCTAATTTATGTTCTAGATCATGCGCGTGTTTTCTTGTTTTTTCGCTCTTTTGTTTCAGTTAGTTTCTTTCGCTTTGTTTTAGACACAGCTAATTTCTCAAATATTTTGTGTAGGTTTCTACGTTTGTTTCCTTTCATTTAGGTTATTTTGAACTCAGAGTCTCGCTTTATACTATGCTTTTCATAATATTCAGTAAATCTTAATATTATTATACGAAAAAAAAACATTAGAAAGTTCTTCTTATAAACACCTTTGAACCGATGAATTTGAACAGTGATTTTCTTGGCTAAATGTCAATTAGTTTAATTTGTTTAATTCGTTTTTCGTTAGTTAGTTTTCTTCTTCTTTGCGTTAGGGTAGTGAACATGGTATTTAAGAATGTATTAGCACAATTTTGCTTACTCTTGACTTTTTCTTCATCGAGGGGAAAAGAACTAAAGCGTATCGAAAAAAGAACAAAAACACCATCGTTTTCGTTACCTGCTAGCGCTTCCAGCGTCCAACTTCCCCGCTGATGGCCGCAGAGCCGGATCGATGATGGGGCACTGAGTTCGCATTTTCTTCTTCTTCTTTTTCTATCCACCAACACCACTTTCTCGCACTTTCGATTCCGGATTCCTCACACTATCACTCTCACAGTAAACTAGTAATCAACATGTGTAGTATCACAAATAGGTTTCCACTTGCTAAAGAGTGTCCATTTCGTTCGGTAGAAAACATGTCCATTTTAGCTTTCAGATTCGCTTCACGGAACTTGATTAGGTGTCCATTTTTTTGTTGCACGCACATTTCGCTTCGGCAGGAAGCCGGTTTCCCCTTTTCCCTACTGGTTGCAGTTTGTTCAGGAAAAATGAACTATTATTCTCACAGACTACATTTTGCAATGACGATGAATTTTTCAACTGTTACGGGAATATGTGTTGTTCATTGTTTTAAAAATTGCAGACACAAACACTAAAGTTATTTAAAACGAAAAGTCATCAACAAATAAAAAAAAAAAAACAATACATCGCTTCTTTACAAAAGAAAAGAAAAATCTTGCTTGAACTACTTAATACTTGGCAATTTGTTCACGTGTCTTTCTGTTGTTGTTTTTTTCAAGGGTACTACTTTCTTCGCTCAGTCGACATTTACGTTAAATCTTGTTTTGGTTCTTTGGAAATACACACACACATTTTTCAGTTTAGTTTCTTCTTCGGCAGTCTTTCTCGGAGCTCGTTGAGTATCTCGACTAATTTTACACTGTTCGAAAGCACTTGCACTTGGGTGTCTCTTTTTGCCTCTGCCTGCCACCGGAGGAGGCGATCCATTTGAATGTCTCACCAAAATCTCACAAAATCATCATCATCATCATCATCACCACCGTCCAGCAGCGGAGACGCGCACAATTGGGGAAAAGCGGCGAGTTGGGGAGAAAGAGAGATAGAGAGAGAGAGATAGTCCCGGGTGGTCGTAGCGTCCTCCCCTTGATCCTCTGCAGCATAACTTATAAAAAAAAAACCTTCCTCGTCATCCGAGATCAGGAACGGCTTCCGAAAACACAAACGAAAATCAAAGCAAAAACTGTGCATTCATTCGTTTACTTTATAGGTTTTTTCCTGTTGATGTTGGACTATTATCGTGTTGTAACTAACGGCAGCACTTTGTTTAATTTATTACCTTGTTTCTTCATCTTGCATTGGATTCGATTGAAAGTAGAAAATTAAAGCATATTAGGAATATTATAATCTGTGTTAACATTCGTGATAATACAAAGCAAAATTACGATTTCACTTCTTTGATTACCATTTTTGTTGTTGCTTCTAGGGGATTATATACGGTTTCTGATTTCCATAATAATTCAACAAGTCATAATCATAATTCTTGTCGTATTTGTTTTTAAGAGCATTCTTTTCTTAACTTTTATTAAATATTTGTTTTGTTTTTGTTTTCTTGTATCATCATAAATCGATATATATATATATTAGATTTGCAACTTTATCTCTTCCATCAACGTCCTCCTTTTATTCGTTCATCATTTATCAAACCTAGCAAATAGAGTTCTCGGCTTCTACCTCACCCGCGCTTTGAACAACAGAACTTCATTACTTATCATCATAGATTTCCGCGTGCTGTATTTTCTTAATTTATCTGTATCATTAATACGTGTTTGTTTGTCTGTCTGTCGCTACCTATTAGTATAAATCAATCAAGTGTTTAAAAATGTATGTTTTCGCAACATTATGATCATCATCATCATCATCATCATCACCGCCGCTGTTGGATTTGAGCGATAAGCACCATCTTTCGATAGAAACGGTCTACTGTTGCTGCTCCGATTGCTGGTGTTGTTGCTGTTGATGAAGCCTTGGAGCGCCACCCCGAAGGATACCGCGACCGCCGCCCTTCTGCTGTTGTTGGTCATTGCGGCCCTGTGAACGAGATGTACCGAGAATCTTATTTCTGTGAAATAAAATTTCGACGGCGAAAGGAGGAAAGGAAGAAGATTTAGAGAAGACGGAAAAAGCAAATCCAGAAGATACCGAATAATGCAGCAAAAGTCGCAGGTTCTATGCAGCGAATTACGAAGGATTTGTACTGTTGAAATGTAAAGTTAACCAAGACTATAGAGATGAACCAGCCTAAGGCTGAAAGTCTCGTTAATAAAGGAAAAAAAAAAAAGTTAACCAAGAACATTCGAGTATCACAATAACTAAGTTCAGTATCACTTATAAAGTATCGCGGAATTTTAACAGAAATTCCGCCAAAAAAAATACGTAGCTGTTCTAGAACCCATCTTATTTCCAAGAAAAAACTACAAATTTATTCTACAAAAAAATCTGTGATGTAAAGTTTTAATCGCAATCGACTTTGACTTTTTCCATTATTATTGCAACATTTGATTCATATTTGGTTCAAGATTTGTTTGGTATTAAAATTATAATTCTAGATAGAGCTGGAATCAGGGCGTAACAGCTTTGGTAAGCAATTACTTCTCTCAATAATTTCTTGGAATTCAAGGCACGCCCAAACAAACCAACATAACCATCGGGTAGAAAAAGACTTCCCCTACCCGATGGTGATGTTGATTTGCGTGGACGAGCCTTGACTTTGTAGAAATCATCGAGAGAAGAAATTGTTTACAAAAGCCGTTACGCCCTAATTCCAGCTCTATCTAGAATTATAATTTAGAATTTTATAATTGAAAATTGGCCAAACTTCGAAATCGAAACCAACGAATCCTGGTGAAGATAGGCACTCATCTTATTTCCTTTCAAAGGTAAGGGAGCAGATGAGTGTCGAAAGATCATATATGATTACCTTTGTATGGGTCTCCTCTCATTGCTCAATCCCAGGCAATGAGAAGGCGGACTCTCTCGCGCGTGCAGGAAGGCGAATTTTATGACAGGCAAATTTCACACCATGAATTTTACCATATAGTGCGTCAAAGTACCCTCTGGAGTTAGCAAACCGATTGAGACACTGGAAATCTTGGACGGTGGTTACATTCAATTATTTCTAATGTTTCTTCGAGAGCGTGGTTTAAAGGCTTGGGCTTAAGTCATGACTTCATTCACGCGATGAGTAGACTTATGTCCAACCACTACTCGCTAGATGCGCATCTCCATAGAATAAACCTCGAGGACAGCAACATCTGTCGGTGTGGAAACGGTTACAATGACATCGATCACGCAGTTTGGCAATTTACGGATAATGACGTTGCCAGAGAGCGACTTCCCTGCGCTTCGGTCAGAGAGCGTATAGGGCGTCGTTGTGCCAATTTGGTCGTGGCACATTTCGAGTATGAGAGAGTAATTGCAGTTAGATCAAAAGTGCCTGAGAAAAATGCAAATACTTTCGCAGATTACCCGAAGTTTCGATAGTGAAGGTATGATCACATACAAGCAGACATAACACTCTTAAAACCTTCATCGAAATTGTTTTTAACGGTCAATTTAGATGTTTCTTAGTTGGTAGTACCGCCACTTGTGGTGCACATAATCAATTCCCTAGCGTTTGCTGTTTACACACTACAACCATCTGTTGAGTGTATTGCCCATCAAAGTATATAAAACAGATGGCGGTAGGGTTCACAATGATAAATGTTCAATGTGTTGGGTCTGCTTGTCTGTGATATAACATGGAGGTAACGTTAGGATAAAATCAATACATTGACGGCCATATAAGTACCCAAGTAACCATATACTCGCAATATAGCTTGTATATTCTTACTTTGCTTGACTATGGTTAGTTGGGGAATCTGATGAAACTGTCACTTCTTGAAACTGATCCCTTTCGTATTTCTTTCATTCTCTTTTCGCACATGGAGCGCTCGGTGGAACAGCGACTTTGGACGTGAGCCTCGTCCCAGATCACCATGGCAATTCATTTCAATTCAATGAAACCGACCAAAAAAGGCGGAATCATATTAGAACCAACCAAGGACGATCTACGGAAGGAAATTGCCGGTGAAGCACGGAATGAAATACGAAGCGTTAGAGAAAAAGTCCAAGGGATTCCAAAAGAAGTAATCAACGACGGCGAAAGAGCAGAATATGGTGAGAGCTTTCCAATTATTAAAAAAATATATATATCAAAATTAAACTAAATACATGCCAGGTTTGAAAAAATATATTTTCGAACCTGGAAGCGTGTATGTAATACCAATATCCATTTGATAACGGTGATGCATACATGCGGGGCTTATTGTAAGTGAAAGTAACCTCGGAATGGGCGTGACTCTCCAGACATTCTGAAATGGGTTGCTGGATCTGCAATAGAGCTATCACCTTCTAACTCCCGGACTAAAGCTGTCTACAATGACCATAAATGCGACATTGTAGAGAGAGTTCTTCCATAATAACACTGCCGGCCAGTGGGGGTTAGATTGAATACACAAACACACACACACACAATGACGTTGCCAGAGAGCGACTTTTGAATACCCTCGAGGATTAAGGAAGACAACCCGATATCCCTATTAGAAACGTGATATATGCAGTTAATTTATGTGTTTCTGCAAATGTCTACTATAAGAATTTAATTCGTTGTATATCTTTATTAGTTTTTGTAAGAACTTCTACAATGTACTGTAATTTGTACAATAATACTCATATTACTCATATTACTTTAAACAATCGTCACGTCGGTCATAGCTTGTTATGATTGCCTAAACAATGCATAAAGAGCAAATCGAAACATTGAACGTCGCGTGATAGTGGAATTTAATCAAGGCCTGAATACTTTTTCGTAGCCTTTTGTTTTTGGATTTGAAAGATCGCCGGTTGCAGTGGCTTGCTTACTGAGCAGAAAAACGCGGTCCCAGGTCCTTTCATATTAAAAATGTATGGTAAGATCGCTTGTTTATCGCGTATTTTGCTAAGCCTAAAAAATCAAAACGTGACAAAGGTAGAACAGCTTAAAACGAAGCGCAACGGCGTGGTAAGTGCAACAAACTCGTTCATCATAACGTTCAACAGTGTAAATGCCCCCAAGTATGTGAAGGTAGGCTTCGTACGAATTGCTACTAGGCCGTTTTACCCTCGGCCAATGCGATGCTTTCAGTGTTTTCAATGCGGACACATCGGCAAAGCGTGCAAAGGAGAAAAAAGGTGCTACAACTGCAGTAAATCGTTCCATGGGGATTCATGTGACAACACTCCCCAATGCATAAATTGTGCTGACAAAGAGCAACAACAACAACACCGGCCTACAAGTAACAGCTGTCCAGTATGGAAAAGGGAAAGTACCATAATGAAGATCAAGGTTGATCAGAACCTAACATACAGAGAAGCAAAACAAAAAGTGGAAAAATCGGAAAAAAATGATTACTCTGAAGCGCTTAAGAAGAATCTGGAGACCAAATTTGAAGATACATTGAAGAAGAGGGAAGAATGGTTTCTCGCTGAATTGAAGAAACGAGATGAAAAAGAGAAGGAAAGGTTGGACCAATACAAAAATCACTTCAAAAAAATGGAAAAACAGATGAACGAGTACAAAATGGAGTTAGAAAAGATCAAAAGTCAATATCAAGCTGAACATGAAAAAAGGGCAGAACTTGAGGATCAAAATAAAGCCCAAGATTTGACTATTCAAAAACTTAAAAAAAAAACTTAAACTATACGCCGATTACGGGGACTACAAAAGCAGTCGAAAAACCAAGCAACATGAAAGTATCGGGGCCTCCCCACCTAGGAAACGAGGAAGTAAGCGAGGCAAAGAAGATAAACAAATTGAACAAGAGGAAAATAGTGACATGGAAGTTCAACAAATATCGGAAGAAGAGGATCAAAGCGATGAACAACACTGCGAACAAATTAATACAAGACACAGAGTAAACAGCAGGTAACCCCTCAACAAAAAAAAAACAAAATGCAAAGACCCAAAAAAACAAGTATCATAACATGGAATATTCAAGGATTACGCACCAGTAAACAGGAGCTAACAATGCTAAACAATGAAATTGAACCACTAATAATATGTTTACAAGAAACCATGTGTAAAACTGACGCACTGGCAACCATTGGAGGATACAATGTAATACACCGAAAAAGGCAAACCAATAACAGAGCAGCCGGAGGAATAATAACTGCCATCAAAGAAGGTATAGATTATAAAGAAATAGCAATCGACACACCGATGGAAATAACTGCTGTTAAAGTAGAACATCCCATTAACGCCACTGTAATAAACGTATACTTACCGCCAAACACAGTTATAGATAAAAATGAAGTCGTACGAATCCTATCGAAGGTACAAAAGCCGTATATCATGCTAGGAGACATGAATGCACACCACTACTTATGGGGAAGCGAATTTATTAACGCTAAAGGGAAAGTTCTAGAAGAAGTATTCGACGAAATGGAACTAACAGTGTTAAATGACGGAGAATATACATATATAAATAACGCAACAGGGAAAAGATCATGTATCGACTTAATCAGCTGTACTAACAACTTAGCAGGAATAATAGACTTCGAGGTACACGAAGATACGCAGGGAAGTGATCATTTTCCGCTCGTGATCACCCTACCAGCAAACTCAGAAATCAGTAGCAGCACACAAAACTGGAAAATAGACGAAGCTGACTGGGTTCAGTTTACAAATACAGTCTTTTTTAGAAGCAGAACAACAGTAGAAGAACAAATTGAAGAAATTACAAAACAAATTATTAAAGCAGCTGACAAATCCATACCGAAATCAAAAGGATTCCCGGGTAAAAAAAGAGTCCCGTGGTGGAATGCTGAAGTTTCAAAAGCCGAAAAACACTCAGAAAATTAAAAAAACAAAAATACTCTCGGAGAAGAAAGACAACTCGCATTACAAAAGTTTCAGACCAGAAGACAGGCAGCGCGAGACCTAATCAGCAAAGCCCAAAAACAATCATGGGAGGAATTTGCAAATAGTTTCACAGCAAGCACCCCTATAAAAGAAATTTGGACCAATCTCAGAAAGATACAGGGCAAATACAGTAAACCAACCATCAGACAAATCAAATTTAATGGTCAGGTAGCAAACGAGAACAAAGGAATTGCTGACCTTCTAGCCAAGGCCTTCAAAACTGTATCTAGTAACGAAACGTATGATAAAGAATTCATTGAATATAAAAATAAAATGGAAGAAATACCTTTAAACGTACCTGAAAATCCAGCTGATGAGTATAACAAACCCTTCAATCAAACTGAACTAGAAGCAGCAATGGAAAACCTCAAAGGAACATCACCAGGACCTGACAACATTCATAATATGATGATCAAAAACCTTCCACCAGACTGTAAACGGATCCTTATAAATACCTTCAACAGGATGTGGAACGAAGCTTACTATCCAACCCTTTGGAAAACAGCAACGGTAGTACCCATTTACAAAGGCAAGGGCGAAAGATCAAACCCAGATAATTATAGACCAATATACCTAAATAGCTGCTTAAGCAAAATCTTTGAAAGGATGATAAACAATCGTCTGGTCCATATCTTAGAGTCCCAAAACCACCTGTATGAACATCAATATGCTTTTCGAAAAGGCAAATCGACTACGGACCATCTAACTATGACCGAAGAATTCATTAGAACGGCTATGAGCAAAAAAATGATTACGCAAGCAGTTTTCTTGGACATCAAAAAGGCCTATGATACAACCTGGAGACGATTAGTCTTGAACGAGCTATCCCAAAAAGGGGTTGGAGCTTCATCCCAGCTTCATCCCAGACGGAGTAAAAATACTAATCTATGCAGATGATGTCATCCTTCTAGCAACTGGTACAAACGCCAAAATAACAGAACATCTATTACAAACCACATTAAACAAAATACACCACTGGGAGATGAAAACAGGATTCCAAATTTCGGCGGAAAAAAGTGCAACAATAATTTTCAGAAACCCTAAAAGCAGAAAACCAACGAACCTTGATGGCCTAATACTGAATGGACGATTAATTCAACATAAAAAACACCACAAAATACTGGGTGTAATTTTTGATCAACATTTAAAATTCAGAGAATATGTAGAAGAAACGAGATCATCCGGTTTACAAAGAGTACAGATTCTAAAATACATCGCAGCCAGACAATGGGGTGGTGACACTAAAACACTTACTCAATTATACAAAGCTACAGTATTGGAAAAGTTGCTGTACGCCGCACCAACAATAACATCCATCAACAAAACCTGTATACAACGACTTGAAACAGTGCATAACGAAGGCCTAAGAGTAATATGTGGAGCATTCAGAACAAGTCCCATCATCAGCATTCAATCGGAGACAGGCATCCCTAACCTCAAAACATTACTCAACCAAAGATTAGTAACACATTTTGCCAAAAAGAGAGCAACTCCAGAAAGCTTTCCCCACACACCTCAAACCGATACCCGCACAGAGGATCCTAGCAGCTACAGTTCCGGAGAAATGTGGAATGAATCACGAAGCCCAGACCCCAACACACCGGAAATAAGGGCAGCTGATGTGATGAACAGTATTGACCTAACACTACCCACGATTAAGTTCCTAACGGTACAAAAAATAGCACCCTGGAATAGAAAACCAATTATTATAGATAAGCACCTCTGGCACCTAAGCAAAGAGAATGCAAAACCCCCAGAACTGGTTCAAGCATTCAAAACCCGGAATAGTTCTCTATACAAATTTCATCGTGCAATATATACCGATGGATCCAAAAAAGATGGCAGAACAGGCTACAGCGTAGTGACTGCAGGCTTAACTATACGTAAAAGAATAAGAAACTTGAGCAGCATATACACAGCAGAAAGCCTCGCCATAATTGAAGCACTGAAATGGATTGTCCAACAGGAAACAGCCGGAGCATATATCATTTATACGGACTCCATAAGCGCAATAACAACACTGGAAAAACAAAAAATCTCCAGCGTCTGGAAAGACGAAATCATCGACCTCTATAATAAGGCAGCACACAATCATTCATGTGTAACTTTTGGCTGGGTCCCTAGCCATATCGGAATAATTGGAATTGAAAAGGCAAATACGGAAGCCAAAAAATCCCTCAATACTACGGAAATAATAAGTGCAATAGACATACAAGACGCCAAGGCATTTATTAAACAAAAATTCCTAAATAAATGGCAAGAAGAATGGACTAATACCACCGGAAACGCTCTACGTGAAATAAAAAACGTCATTACTCCTTACAAACAGTCCATGACAGGCAACCGTAAACAAGATGTAATGATGACCAGACTTAGAATCGGTCATACTCTTCTCACCCACAAGTACAAGGAAAATCCACCCAAATGCCAATTCTGCAACTCCAATTTGTCTGTCAAACACATAATAGCAAACTGCCCAGGTCTCGATCACCTAAGAACTTCAATTGGAATTTCAACAAGCTTAAGGGAAGCACTGGCGGACGACAGGGAGAGTATGGAAAAAATAACACTGTTCTTCCAGCAAGCTGGGCTAGCTAAGCAAATTTAATAAATCGTCGAAACATCAAAACCGTATCGCGCCATCATCATTTATTAGCTCGGTCACCCAAAATGCCAGCTATAAAAATCCCCATCGATCGGAAAGAGTCAATAGTCATACATCAAACTCCAGTCAACCATCATCATGGACAACAGCGACTCCAAGGACCAAGAAGTGCAGCAGATAGGTGACCAACAGGTTACTGTCATTGAAAACCAGGAGGTGCATACGGAGATGCACTCCCAGCATGAAGCGAAGCTGTGGATCATCATAGGCATGCTGACCTTTATCATCGCACTCAACCTAACAAAAATTGTAATCAACAAATGTCGGAAGGAGGCATACAAAGCAGCGCGGTCTATGGCGGCGGCTCAGAACGTATAAAATCGGTGGTTCACCAAGAACAGCAAAAATACCAAAAGTGAAGATTTGCAATGTAGACCAACAACAAAAAAAAAACGAAGAATAACAAAAGTGAATCTATATAATGTACTATAACTCTAAAGTCACAAGACCCGAATGACAACAGTTAAAAGGTCTTTAATAAAAAAAAAAAAAAAAAAAAAAAAATCTACTCGAAGGTAAAATTTTGTCAGACACAATTAGGTGTAACATCTAGTAAGAGACGCACATACCTTTTTGGTTGATACATTTTGCAACAACTAACAAGGTCTAGCTCTACAGAAATGGATTTTTATCAACCCTAAGGATATCAGTTCAACTCAGGAATATGGGAGTTAAATTTACATTAGACCCAAAATAATCGAAATATCCTTTTATTTGAGTAACTTTTGCTCAACTTCCAAAAATGCAACTACAAGCATTGAGCAACCACAAGTTCGCAACTCTATTTAAAAATCGAAATGAACAACCATCCTCAAACTCCACCGAATAATTAAGTTGTTTGAAACTATCGAAGCCAGTCATATTTTTTAAAGTGATTCGATGTGAAATTCTTATTCTTGGTCTCTACAAGGAATCACCTTAATAAGTGGCGAGGACATATTTTCTTGTATATGAATAAAACTCCCTGAGATTCCCTGATTTTCAAGGTCCAAACATTAATAATTGTCCAAATAATGGACTTGAATGTCGTCTACATTACGAAATTTAAAAAAAAAAATCAATATATTAGGGATTCCATCAACACCAATTACACAGTTCTGGTCTGTTTGCAGCACTTCTCTTAACACCGGCTTTATATGTTTTCGAACTTTTTTTTAGAACAAATAGCATGTGTTTATGAAATACTCTAAAAATACAAATCAAATTATGGCGTTCATTTTTTTAAAGCATTATTAGAGTTATTTCTAACCACTTATGGACTAGTTCATCACCAAATATGGCGTTAAGCGTCAAAAGCTCAAAATTGTCGAAATGTAACATGGAACAGTTATCCATCCACCGGCAGTATATCAAGAATTGCAGCGAATTCTCCGTCAAAGAATAGTCGGGTAAACAAAAGACACACCAAGCGGTGTTAAACGTCAAACTGCTTTACTGCCATTTATATATTGGTATAATCCAACTCGCTTGCATTTTGAAACCTTTGATACATAATATCTTCCAAATATAAAAATAAAATAAAAAGTAGCACTAACCCTTGTTTGACACCTTAGTTACCCACCCGATAGTGGTCTCTCGATTCCCCTCGATATCCACCACCGCCACCGCCGCCTCCGCCATTGTTGTCCGCTCCATCCCGGGAGCCTCCCCCATCGGAATCCAATCTACGATCCATGCCGCCCCGTGATCTATAACCGCCATCACTTCCACCGTCACGGTAGTCACCCCGTCCACGGTTGTCATCCCCCCGGCCGTAGTAATCCCGATTCGGTCGGCCGTAGCTGCGCTGGTAACCGCCACCACCCTCGTGGCCACCATCCCTCGAGTAGTTGCTTCCGCCATCCCGATCATCTCCACTGTTGCTTCCATTGCCGCTAATGTTGCTGTTGTTGTTTCGTCTGTCGTAGCTCTGATAGCCGCCACCGCCTCCTCGGCCACCGTCCTGGTTGTACTGGTTACGGTTATAACCACCTGAAATAAGGATTTTGTTTTCGGATTTCCTAAATTGAACTAACTGAGTAACCTTATTCAACTCACCATAGCTTTTATTGTAGCCCCCTCCGCCGCTGCCGGTGCCACTGCCACTATGATAATCTCTTCCATAGCCGCCCCGGTTGTAGCCATCGCCGCCACCATCACGATCGTTATACTTGTTGTAGCTGTTGTTATACTTGTTCGGTCCATCGTATCCTCCTCCGTACTGCTGCGGTCGATACGACGGTTGCGTGTCACGAACGTCATGCTTCTTGGTGTTCTCCTCCAGCTGACGTTTCTCGTAGTGGATAAAGTCATCGAATATCGACATCGTGTGCTTGTAGCTGTGGATGATCTTCAATGCCTGGATTCCCTTCGCATTGGGCACCTCCTGGGTGTCACGCGAGTTCGTGATGGGCTTGTTTTCGTTATTTTCCAGCACCACCCTTCGCAGCTGCCCGTTCGGGACGTCCTTGACGTAGATCCAGCGCACCTTAAACGTGCCCTTCCACTTGTCCTGCGACCAAACGCTCGATACGGAGTTGTAGTCCACAGCTGTCATCATCTGCGCTATACCGCAGAAATGCCCAGATCCGTTGACAGAGAAGAACAGATACACCATGCCACCTTTTTCCTCGCGTTCGCGATACGCCTGATCCAATCGCTGGTTGCCGTGTTCAGTTGAGCACCAGATCTCGTACTTGATGCTACGGTGGATGTCGTCCTCCGAGTACGATTTGATTACGAAGAATCTGAAAGTGGTTAGGAAGAAGGTAAGGATACGCCGACGGAATGAATTGGAAAACTTACCTGGCTAAGTGCGCCGTATCCAGCATGTCTAGATTGGTCGGATTATAGTTGTTTTTGGTCTGCAGCTGGTTGAGAATTGGGGCTGCATTTGCCGCGGCGGCTTCCCCGCCGCTCGGTGTAGGAGAGACAGGTGGTTGCATCGGCGGCTGTTGCTGCGGCGGTTGCTGTTGTTGCTGCTGCTGCTGCTGTGGCGGCGGCGGTTGAACAACAGCTGGTTGTGGTGGTGGTGGTGCTTGCTGTTGTACTGGTGTTACCTGCACTGGTGCTGGTTGTTGAGACGCCTGGTTATCTTGATTATAATTGCTAGGACCATTGCTGGGTCCTCTTCTGTCTTCTTGAGGCATGCGATGCTGTGGTGGCGGTTGCTGGTAGCTTCCGCGTTCATTCGGCTGGTGTTGCTGCTGCTGCTGCTGCTGCTGATGAGCCGGTGGTGGTTCATGATGGTTTTGATTCTGTCTCGGATGCGACTGATGCTGCTGCACCGCTGGTGGCTGATGATGGTATGGAGGGGGCTGATGGTAGCCTTGACCTCCCTGTTGGTTCATCGATGGAGGCGGCCCAGAGTAATTACCGCGGCTGTTCTGCTGCGGTCCCTGCTGGTACTGCCGATGATCGGACCGCTGCGAATGATGCTGTTGAGGCATCATACCTCCTCCGGATTGATTCGGTTGTTGTTGCGGTTGCTGCGGTTGCGGTTGGGGAGGCGGATTCTGCGCCTGACCCGGCGTTGGCCAGCGTGAATTCTGCACTCCCGGTGGTGGTCCCATGTTTTGTTGCTGATACTGTTGCTGCTGCTGCTGCTGATGGTGAGGATGGTGACTACCGCTACTGCCGCCCCCGTGGCCACCCCCGCCCATCGATGAGGCATTGCTGGGGCCGCCTTTGCCACCGGCTAACGGTGGTTCGGCTAACGGTGACGGTTCAATCACCGGCGGGGGAACGATCGGCGGCGGAGTCGGCGTCGGCACCATCGCGCTAGGTCCGTTCTTGGACGGCGAGTCCCAGGTGCCAATATCCATGTTGTGCTTGCCAGGAACCATCGGTGGTGGGGGCATTCCCGGGCCCTTCTTCTTCACCGTTGTACTCGTGGTGTTCACTTGCGGTTTAGCCGGTTGGGATGCAATCGAAGCCCAGGTCATCTTTTTGGGAGCTTCCTTCTGCTGCTGGTGATGTTGATCCGATTTGGATAGTGAATTGCTGCCGTGGGAGGAGGATTGATGGCTAGCGTCTCTGTTGTGGCGCATCGAGCCGAGGCCGAGTCCCTGCATTCCTTGCTCAACATTCTGCGGAACGGAAAAAAGTGAGTTAATTTTTCAAGCAAATAAACATACCTATTATAGAGCGAACTCTTACCTTAATTCCATCGTTGTAGGCTCCCTGATTCCGGTTGTAGTAATCATCGTACGGCTTTCTTTGCGATTGACCTCCGGCACCAGCACCAGCGTGACCGTGGCTCACTTGTTGCGATCCCCATGAGTTATTGTAATCATTTCCTGGTTTTCGAAGGGTGAGAGATAGGAAGGGAAAGTGAACGGTTCGATTAGTTCAACGCTCGGTGTACGGGATTTTGAAAAGATCGGGCATCAATAATCGGAGTGCGTGGATGCGGAATGGAACGAAGTGCAATCAACAGAAGAAAACTATAACCGGTGTCGAAATGAGACAATGAAACAGCTGTGGTGGTGTCGGTGTCGGTGTGTGAGTGTTTGTGTAGAATGCGAGTATTGAGTCGTTGAGTGTGGAAAATGTTGTGTACCAAAAGGACTGTTTTGACTATCTGAAAACATGGGAGGGCGTATTCGTTCTGTGTAAAAACTGAACCAGACTCCCTTGTTGTTGTTGTTGTTGTTGTTGCACGAATGGAACCATTGGAAAGAACTCAGAAGGCATTCCAAACCTCAAATACCGCCAATAATTAGCTTCAAGGGATAGTAGTAGTAGGGGCTGCTTATAATATATGTAGACAGTTTAAGGGAGGGTTGGGGGTGGGTGTTGATGAGCGTTTAAATTAAAAAAAAAAATGTATGGATAACTGTCTACGGTTTAAGGTCAGTCAAGGCAAATGAAAAGTTGTACTTGTTTTAAAAGTTGTGCTTGTTTTAATAAATATTTATGGATCAGTCACTTTCACTGTAACTGAAAGGTACCCATTCATAAGTACAATTTCACCCATTTTGAAATAAAGTAGGTTAACCCATTTAATGGGTAAACAAGTTAAACATAAATGAGTAATTGTTTACCCATTTAATGGATTAACCTACTTTACTTAAAAATGGGTGAAATTGTACTCATTAATGGGCACTATAAAGTTAGAGGGTTGAGAAGACCTAGAAGGAGTTTAACAAAACGCTCAGTTAATTTTAGGAGTACCGTAAGTGGGGGTGACATTGGGCTAAAAGATCAAAATGTTTCGTCCCCTTCCTTACAATATTCACATTTTAACAAGGAAAACCATTTTAAGCATATGAATATATGCATCAATGATATATTTACGACTGGCATGCAGTGGCGTCGCCCTAACCTAAATCTACCTGTTCGACAACTCTCAAAACGTAAACGAATAAAAAAAAAATTACTTCCAATGTATACAAATCGCGAAACTAGAAAAGCCTGTATCTGTATCTAGCCTAAACTGATTTGAATGTAAAAAAAAAAAAAAAAAAAAAAAAAAAAAAAAAAAAAAAAAAAAAAAACTTGGAAGGCTCAGAGAATTTAATAATTTTATTACTAAGGATATTTTAAAGATAATAATTAATTTTAAAATTCAAGCATTTAACTTTTCTCGTTATTTTCATTCACACTTTGAACATGGATGGAGTGAATTAATCTTCAGTAACAAAGAATTAAAAAAAAACCGAGGCATTAAATGTTTTTTTTTTTTGTTTTCGAACATGCATATTTCCTGGAAATTTTAAATTTGAACTAGTTCTGGACTTAAAAGCGATAATACTTCAAGAAATTTTCAAGAATCTGGAGTCAAATTCCAAGCACAGTTTTAAAAGCTTGTGGAATTTTATTATAATTTCTTAGGACCTCATTTCGAGGAAGTTCTGAGAAAAAAAATCTTTCAGAAAAACAGCAAATACAATCTGCTTTCAAGGTAGTTCTGAGGAATTTAAGATATCTTGTGAAGCCTGATAGTTTTCGAGTAGAATTTCAAGAAATCCTAAATTAAATTGAAAGCAAATTTTTATGAAAACTCTTAGTAATTTCTCCTTCAGAAAATTCCAAGGGTCTTCTGAGGATAATTTCACAGTTTGTGGGAGAAAACGAATCCGGGGCATAAGTCCTTGGAATCTTTTTGAAAATACTAAAAGGAGGATTACAATTAAATCTGAGAATAACCCCAGAACATCTTCAAAGGAATTCGGAAAATAAATTCAGGAATGTTTGCCAAACAAATTATGAGAAGAAATCTAAGGAATTTCTGAGGAGAAATGCCACTGAATTCTTACGAGACTTTCAATGTGAGTAGAATTCAAAGGGAAGGAATGAGATTCAAAAGGAAATTTGAAATGAATTCAATCAATATCCGGAGAATTTTTCCAAAGGTGGAATTGCGGTGAATTCCAAGATATTTCCGAGGAAAACTAAAAGAAAATTGAATTCGAAGCTTCATCGAAATGTTGAGGTATATTTCAATGGAAATCAGAATGGACTATTCTGAGGTCTTCAGAACTACTTAAAAGTTCAAAAATTTGTCCTGAAGGTAATGAAAGTGCTTTGCAGTTCTTTTTTGTTTGATAAACTAGCCTGATGCTTACAATACTTCTCATTAAATTCTTAAACTTTCCTGAACTTTATAGGACTTCCTAAAGTTTCTTCAATTTTTCTGAAGATCAAAAATCTCTTCTAAAGCAGTTATATGGATCTTCCATTAAGTTCCATAGACTTTTATTAAGTTCTCGAAATGTTTCTGACGATCTCTGTACTTCTGTGAAGTTTTCGAAGTTATTCTGAAATTCCAGGAATTTATTTAAGCTCCCGCAACGAAATAATTAATATAGTTCTACGATTTTCGCTGCAGTTCTCAATATTTGTCTGAAGTTCAAATTATCGAAACTAATTCATAACTTCTTCCACAGTCTAGAGTTTCCTGATGTTTTTATAACTGCCCAAAATATTTCTCAATTTGCTTAAAATTCTCTATACTGCTCTGAATATCTTTTTTAAAAGAACCCACCATTTTACTGGAATTGATTGAACTGCCTTTAACTTCTACAATTTTCCTTTGCCTTAAATCACTAATTTTCCCTGGAAAGTCCAGCCCTTAATTTCTCTAAATTGATCAAATGTTCCGTTTTCTGATATATATTTATAATTCCCTGAATCTTCTAAAGTTTTCAGATCAATCATACATTTCTCGGAACATCCCATAATTCCAAGGAACTCCTTGGAAGTCACTGCAAATTTCTTTAAGTTAATGGGATTTTTCTGATGTTATCTCATCGTCCTCGAAATACTCGGAACTTCACTGAATATAATGAAACAAATTAAAAATATTTAAATTTATTGGAATTTCTTGAAAATGTCGGTGCTTGCTAAAAGTTATCTTTTTTTTTTTTTAATTAATGGAACATCGTTGATGTTCTCTAATCAACTTAGCTCAATTTTCGAAATTTTTTAGATCTTGAAATTTCCATGATACAACACTCTTGAGAGTACTCACATTTTCCGGATGTTCGTATAATTTTTATTGCGTTTCACAAATTTTCTCTGAGCAAATTCCCAGAAATTTTCTTGAAACTTCTTTAAGGTTTCTGCAATTTCCATGATTTTTTTTTAATTGCCCTTTAAATCTATGGTCTGTCTTGATGTCCTTGGAGCTTTCCTAAAGCTCTCAGTTCTTATGAAGGTCTCGTTTCTGCTTTAAAATAAATGGAATTCTCGTGAACACCTTTAAACATCCCTGGAATTCTCTAGATTTTTGTGAAGTTTTCATAAATTTTTTGAAGGTCTGTACTGAATCTTTCGGAACATGGGTGCTTGATTTCATTTCAGCACATCATGGAACTATCCTGAATGTCTAACCTAACGCTTATAAATTTTAAAACCAATCCAATAGTCTGAGCTAAAGTTTCGGGGACTTCCCCTTAAGATCTCTGGAATTCTCGAAAGATCTTTAGATCTAGCTTTTCTGAGATAAATAAAACTTCTTATAAGTTTCCACAATTTTATTAGTACGGAATTTCAAGGCATTAAAAATGTTGTGATCTTAGACTTATTCAAATGAAGTAAAGCTGATTGTTTAAAACTGATTGTCAAGTCTTATAAACGTTTGCGTTAATTGTAATTGTTGATTTACAATAAAAAACATATTTTTAAAGCATTTCATAAATAACTTTCTTATTATAAAAATAAAACGGTGAAGTTATGGAAAACCCAGGGAACTGAGTGGGCACCCTGTAGATAGACAAAGACGATTAAACGTAAAAAAAACTCTATACAAGGGCGTCAACTTCAAAATTGTTCAAAAATTACAACAAAATGTAGGCCTATCCTACACACTGCAAGAAGAATGAGCACTCTTGAAATAAATTCATGTTAAAAAAAAAGTTTAAAATAGTGACTGATTACAAGAAAAAGTGACTTTAGTGACTTGCAGGGCTGGTAGTGCTGATGCGATATAATAGTAGTGACTTTAGTGACTAAAATTACGGAAATAGTGACCAAATAGTGACTAGTAAATACTAAATAAGTAACCACTTATATGGTAACTTAGAAATTCAAATAGGGTTTGATATTGAAATAAACTTTTTATGTCATGGAACTTAAAATCAAATTTAATAAATTCCTCTAATTTAATCGAACAACGGAATCTCCTGTGAAGAGCATTTGAAGTGGTTTAAATAATTTACTTTTGCTTACGTTATATATGATGACTAGCAAACAGTAATTCCCATTTTTTTTATGATCTTGTATTTGTTTCTGCGTTCGAAATCTTTAAAATTTTGATACATCTAGGTAGTTAGATAACTTTGATAATTTGCTAAGAACTTTTCACAGAATTTCTTCAGAATGATCTCAAGAACTTTTTTAGTATAATTCCCCTTCTCTTAAACTTAGATGCAAATTACCTTTTACAAAAATAATACTGCATTCTTGAAATTGTTTCCAGAACAATCAACAAAATTCTTGGAAATAGATCATTTCCGTAGTTGGAAATGCTGAACATCAAATATCAGAATTAAAGTGGACATTTTATACGATAGATGAGGAGATGAAAGTAAAGAATTGATAGTTCCGTTATAGTACGGCAGTGTGAAATTTGTATATAGAAAGTAGAAAGCGAACAAACGACAATTTTGAGGAGGGTACAAATCGGGTAGAGTATCTCCTTTACCAAGCTCATCCGTTAATGAGGAATGGTGAGGGGTGTTTCCCCCTGCCACCACTGACAAAAGGGATGATCGCCGATATGCTCATGTACCTTCGATGTGCGGAAACAGTTATATCGATTGTTTCACACTCAAGTCGCCTTTCTTCTTCTTCC